TACGAGGCCCTGAAGCAGCGGTGCCTGCAGGCCCGTGCGCTCTTTAAGGATGAGGAATTCCCAGCCTGTCCCTCCGCGCTGGGCTACAGGGACCTGGGTCCGTATTCCCCCAAAACCCAGGGGATAATCTGGAAGCGACCCACGGTAAGAGCACTTTCTTTACTGCATGTTTTACTAACCCCAGATCTAATCAAAGCCACCTGGACCTCCATCCTAAGCCAGTGCTGATCCTGAATACCTGCTGTTTCTGTGTGCTTTTTCTTCCCTCTTTCTTCACCTCCCTGGTTGCTAGCTGCAGCAAGGTTGAAGAGGGGAAGATCAGCCGATCCTAAATCCCTCATAAAGCGAGGAAACCTCTTGCTTCATGAGAACCTGCTTCCTTCCTTTCTCTCTAAAGCTTTCCAACCCGGCTCCACGGAGCTAGAAACCTGCACGAGAGTTGCGAGCGGTACGCAGAGGCCCGAGGGGCATCCAGGCAGGGCTGTCCCAGGAGCCGCTCGTCATCGGGTGTAACGCAGTCCCTCCACCACGTCCCTTCCAGCGTGCCTCCAAGGAAACGAGGCTAATGCCTAAAGAAAACCCTTTGCATCACTTCAAGCAGCCTATAGCAATGAAAGAACAACTGACTGGAATTGTTATTACCCAAAATGCCCATATCCTGTAAAGAGCCATTCATTTAAAATAGTCGTTTTCATCAGAAAGGATTAGGTGCTGAGATTTCTTTTTCTAAACCACAAGGTTCAAAAAAAGGTTTCTGGTCTTTCATTTTCCCACTGTTTCTGTCCACACTTCATTCCTCCTTCCTTGTTTTGCCCCTCCCTGGAGTATCAAAAAGAAAGAAATGGAAAAAGGGGGGACGGAAGAAGGAAAAAACCCCACGACAACTTACCTTCAGATGGGGGAGGAAGGAGAAAGCGAGAGAGCGAGAAAATTTCAAGGCCTAGAAACTTTTCCCCCCCGAAAAGTGAGACACTGGAGCTTCCAGCTTCAGGCACCTCCTCGGTGAAGCCCTTCGTCAGTCAGCATTTCACTTTGGTACCTGGGCGCTTCAGCAATGAGTGCTGTGGCGATATTTTTTTGGTTTTGCCGTCCCTGGGAAAACTCGGCCCTTAGACAGCTCCTTAATTTATCCTCCGCCACCCCAGGCAAGGCGGCTTTGTGGCCGCAGCAGACAGGCTCGACGGCAAGCGCAGTGCCACACGGGTTTATCGTCACTTAACCTACGAGTGTCGAGACCCACCGGCTTATTCCCGTGCACGGGGCAGAGCGCAGCCCAGCTTCAGGTGGCACCAGCACGTGTGCTAGGGCCCTTATGCTGCCCGGGAAGGACCCTCTGCTTCCTTCTCCTGGGGATGGAGACCTGCATCTATCCCGCTTGTAAAGGCCATGGTTAACTCCCGTCAGAGGTGACGGCCCGGGAAGCCGCGCTCAGTTCCTTGACTTTTCCAACCAGCCGGCAGGTTTCCAGCTGCAGACCCTGCCTGGGACTCCAGGCAGACGGGATCGTTGCTCGCTTACCTGCCGGCATCCAAAACAGGCAGTGAAACCCGCCCAGCAGGTGATGGGGAAGAGCCGTGCTGGAGCAGTGGCCCTCTGCAAATATTTGCTGCTCAGGGCATCTCGCCCTGGCTTGTGAGCGCTGTGGTGCGGGGAGGGACAGGTGCTCTTCCATCCTTATTTTCTGGCTTTGACAGTGGGTTTCTAAAGGGAGAAAAGGTCAAAAGTGCCCTTCTAAAGACGGCCTATGTGGCACTTGGCAGTGGCTCGGAAGAGACACATGTCTAAATGAGTGATATTTCATATACTGCTGAGGGCCATCAGGTGCTGCAACGGGCCACCAGTTGGAGGGAGGGGAAGAAAACCATAGAAACTTTTCCGGGTGGTAACCTCGTCCAGCCTCCTACCCACCGAGACAGCCGAGCCCTGTGATAAGCTGCTCCGAGCTGGAACGAGAAGAAGAGTCCTTAACACAACCTGCTTGGCTGGGCCCCCCCGGCCAGG